AAACCCAAAAGATTAACTACTCAATTAGACTTAGGAACAAAGTGCAAAGCAACACTTAAAATGGATACTTGGAGCTCAGCAACAGCAATGTAGTTCTACTTTTAAGTCCACCGGTTTATTGGTTCAATCAGTTCTCCCATTTCAACTACAATATCAAATGACTCCAAAAAACTTCAACTTTTGAACCAATTGAAGCAACATTTCCAACAATCCGAGGAACCCTTTAGAATTGTTTTTTTTTAACTAGTTTTACTGAATTTAATTCCAGCTTTAACTAGCTCCAAGAACTTCGACATTGAAGCAACCAAAGCAAAACTAATAATGAACCTTGTGAGCACCATATTAGCATTTATTCAGCATCCAAATAACAGTTCTAGCATCAAAAGCACTTAACTAAACCTAATTCTCACAAATCAAACAACAGACAGAATATTTGACTATTCTAAAACACACTAAGTTAAAAAATTCAATCCACTCAGCTACCTTCTGATTCGCTCATCATGCCACAACAGATATATCAAATTGGAGTGCCTATCACCAAAGTAGATTATGAACAATGCTGATGCAACCCAAAGCACAGTTTCCAGAATCTCAGTCCAAGTTCTAGTTCTCAGAGTTTCTTGTGACAAAGACTGCAACCTGGAGCATGCATCGTCCTCAAGGTCCTCATTGCTCGATGCATATCCTGACTATGCCTTTGCCTATATACCCACAGCAACCGGTGTCCACCAGACATTTTTCTACTCCTTTCTCACAAGATTAATCCCCCAAAAGAAAAGAAAAAAAGATCAACCTTTTCAAGAACTAAAAAAAACCCCACTTCCTGGAATGGAATTCCATTAAGAAATCTAGTAAGACGTTGTACTTCTTCAACTGTTAAACCCCACTCCAAGGTCCAAACATAACCACTTTCTGAATCACAATTCTAAGGAATTGGAAATGAAAATTGAAGAAGATTCAATGAAAAATGAAAACCTAAAGTAGAAATGAGACTGGTGAAGGAACCCAGTCGGCAAGTTCCAACTTTTATCGTCTAAAAAAATTCAATGTAAAATCAAAAGAAGGAATGAGAGGAGTAGAACAAACCCATCAAAAGCCCCACAAAATCTCACAAAACCCAGATATAGATATAGATTCAGCTTCACTCGACACACACGTAACAATTTTCCTCCGGATTCTGATCACCGATGCCAATGAAAAAAAGGGGGAAATGGTGCAATAAATGATACTAATAACAAAGAAGGATAGCTTTGTGTTTTGGTATTTTTCAGTTCTGAGCTAGAGAAAAAATTGTCCGACAAATCTTAGAAAATGTATTGCTTTTACCTTTTACGAGTGACGATTGACGAGAAAGAGAAACTGATTCGTTTCTTGTACTTCAATGAAAGAATGTGTTATCCAGTTTTTTTTTTTTTTTAATTCTACCTTCGGTTGAAGTTAACTTTTGTTATATATTGATGACATGGCTAGAGTTGATTGGTGGGGATGTCAAGGATTTGTTTGCTTTAGATTAATCATTTCTCGATAGGTCGATTCTACGGTGTGACACTCTTAATATATAATTTAAAAAATACGTTATCAGTTTTATTATTATTTAAATAATAAAATTGATAAAAAATACCTTAAAAATATTATTATTTCTACTTAAAATATTAATGTTTTTTAATATTTCTGGTAAAGTGTCCAACAATAACAAAATCGGTAGAAAAAATAACAAAATCAGTTGCGCTTTACCGGTTTTGTTAACAAAATCGAAAAAACACCAAATAATAATAAAATCGGTAGAAATAATAATGTTTCTGGTAATTTTTTTTACTGATTTTATTATTTAAATAATAACAAAACCGATAATATTTTTTTAATCGTATATTAAGACTTCCGCACGTAATCATTTCTGTTAAGGCAGATCGTTTTGTGTTCTTAGTTTTTACTTTATAGATGCTTGAAAGACAATATTGGTCAATGTTTTGAAAATCGGACCGGATCGGCCGATTCAACCGGGAACCGTTGTCTAGTCCGGTTCAATCTAGATCGATTGAACCGCTACTAGTAAACCGGACGGAACCGTTCAAACCAGACCGGCTGAAAACTGAAAAAACCGGGAAAAAATCGGAAAAAACCACCAATTTTATTTTATTTTTTTAAAATTAAACCAAACGACGTTGTTTGTTAAACGAGTCAAGTCAAACTCGAGTATTGCTGAGCTCGACTCAAACTTGAAAAATTTAAAAGTAAGCTCAACTCGACTCAAACTCACGAGCTAAAAATTATCAAGTTTAACTCGAACTCGAAATATAATATTGAAACTTGAACTCGAAAAGGCTTGAACTAAAAAAAAAATTTAAAAGCTCGATTGAAACCTAAAATTCGAGCTTGATTGAAGTGAAAGAATAGTTCACTCAATGCTCACCAAAAGGCTCCATGATTTTGAATGTCAAATTACCTCTATTATTTATAGAAGTTAGTTGGGATGATCTTTTATGTTTCTTAACCATGTGGGATTGTTTTTAAAAAAAAATTAAACCAAACAATATCATTTTGTTATGATTTTTTAGGGCCAAATTTATTTTTTAATTATAGTTATATAATTATATTTATTATTTAATATGTTTTACCTTAAATATTATATTGTAGTTAATTTGAATCATTTTGTTTCACTTAATTTTATGGTTTTTAACTTATATATGTTATGACTTGCTTTGAATATGAATTGTGATATAAAAAATTATTTTTTATTAAATATTTTTGATATTTTTATTTAATTTTTTAAATAATTATGACGTTGTCCGGTTCTTTCGACCGGTCAGACCAGTGAACCGATAGTATGACCGGTTCACTAACGGTCCGGTTCTAAAAACCATGATATTGGTTTTAGTCCGGAGAATTCATTAAATTATATTTAAATAATTATTTTAGTTAAAAATTTAATTTCTTTTAATAAAAAGTCATTAAATTTTAAGACGATACATCTTAAACTATATATTTTTGGTTGAAAAATAACCTACGCTTAATGCATTAATTGTTGATAAGAAGAATGATTTGTAAGAGCCTCTCGATCTCCCAAATTATTCATCTTCCTAAGCTCGTTTACTCGATCTCTCTTTTACGAAACCATAAACCACATCTCTTCGGTCGAACTAGAAAAGGGGAATCACAAACAAACAAACAAAAACTTCATAATTTATTTTCCCATCGATAATTTAGTATAATAAGTGTAAAAATGTTATAATAATTAGATAAACTCTAAACCCTAAATTTTAAACCCCAAATAAACAAACAAATAAACTCTTCGGTTATGGTTGCAAAGCACATGATTTTTCTTTTTTTTTTTAAAAAAAAAGAAAAATTGTTGACCGGTACGGTATTAACCTAACGATCTACAATATTAACGTGACAATTCATAGTGATTGATAATGTACTATATGAGTTAAATTGATAACTCAAACATAACATATAAATTGTCATGTCAATATTGTGGACCGTCACGTTATCACTGTAATTTGTCACGTCAGTACCGTAACGATCAAAACACTGAAAAACATTGGTTAAATGATCACATGGTAACCAAGTGCATCAAGGTGGAGTATAATGCATCCAAAGTTAAATGCCCCAAAAACTTTCTGTAATCGGATGCACCGTCATGCATGTCCATTTGAAGTTTCCAACCCTCTGGAAAACCATCTTCCATTACCAACCACCAAGATATGCCACCTTTAATGTCTCCTGGGTTCATGTTCTGGAGGTCTGTTTCGGGGATTGGGACTCCGCATGAAGAATGGACTGAGGAACTTTCATGATGAAGACTGCCCAAGAAGATGTCCGTGAATGCCAAGTGGGATGGGTCATCAAATGGAGATATGGGACCCTGCATACCTAGAGATATCATGGAAAGCTATATTAGAAACATGAACAAAATCTAAAGAAAACTTGTCATAAACCATGTCAAATGATTAGTGAGGAAAATACCACAATTTCCAGCTCCATGAGAACTCTGCTAGAAAAGATTCTGAGCCAGAGACAGACAGAAACGACCCAGAAGACTAGGTTCATCCTTTCCTTGACCTATACTTAATTGCAGATAATTTTCTCGTATTTAGTTACTTTCACTCCAACAGATTGGTTGAATGCTTCACGATTCAACATCTCAAACACCTGAACCGAAGGGTTAAGTTCAGAACTTCTATTCCCCCAAAAGAAGAACGATACCCGGTGACATTGTAGCTTGGTTGCAGCAGATACGGCAAGATCAGACAGGACCTCATTAGGTAAAGGCTTAGGCCTGGTCATGCCAGCGACTGTTACAGCATCATTAGCTTCCACCTTCCAGAGCAATGATATGGCAATACAAGGCACCTAGGGAATGCAGATATGGGCACACGATAAGGGTACAACACTACATGGACACAGCGACAGAGGAACTTCTAGAAATCAAGACACAGATACTGCCATAAAAAATATATAAAAAATGTATGATTGATACTGTTCAATCAAATATAAAAAAAATGTTTGATTCTCATGTCATCAAATAAAATAAAATTATTTTTAAATATATTTTTAAAAGTGTATGTGTAATTAATTATAATTATAGTTTACTTAAAAAATATTTTTTTGCTGAAGTGACATCACACATGGACTTACTTCCTCCGTATGAAACATTGACAGTTAGTCAACTAACAATTTTCATTCAAATATGGGACATTTTGCTCTAAAATGGAACGTTAAGGGCTAAAATGCTCCCAAAAAAATGATAGGGGGCAAAATGACCATTTGTGCAAAAATTGAGGGGTAATTTTGTTATTATGCCTATACAAATTGGTAACTAAACTTGGAAACTTTTCTCAAATTGATATCTGAACTTTGCTTTGTCTCAAATTGGTACTTTAACTTGGAAAATTTTCTCACATTGGTACTCTTTTTACTTGCATCTCAGCAAACAATCAAACTGTTAACGTGACATTGATTGGTCAAAATGATCGGATTATCAAGTGATGTGTCATAATATGATTGATCGTCGAAATATCACGATAGCATCGTATACTAATTTAAGATACAAGCCTGATAATTTCACTTTCGTTGGTGTGTTATCTGCTTGTAGTCAAGCTGGTTTGCTTGATCTTGGACGTCTGTATTTTAGATCAATGGTCCAAGATTATGCAATTTCACCCGATTTGCAACATTATGGATGCATGGCGAATCTTCTAGGTCGAGCTGGGTTGTTTGATGAAGCAGAAGCTTTGATTCTTAATATGGAAATGAAACCAGATGGTGCAATCTGGGGTTCTTTGCTTGGAGCTTGTAGGGTTCATAAACGCGTCGAGTTAGGTGAATCTGTGGCCAAGCGCCTTCTTGAGTTGGAGCCTGAAAATCCTGGGGTTTATGTTCTTTTGTCAAATATATATGCAGGAGCTGGTAGATGGGACGATGTAGCTCGAATAAGAACCTTTCTAAATAAGAAGGGAATGAAGAAAGTTCCCGGTTGCAGCCCTATTGAGGTTGACAGAGTTGTTCACGAGTTTCTCGTCAGCGACAAAGTGCATCATCGCTGCAAAGAAATTTACGACATGTTGGATGAAGTCGACATGCTTTTGGAGAAGGCTGGATTTGTACCCGATACATCAGAGGTTCTTCAAGATATGGATGAGGAATGGAAGGAAGGGGCCTTGAGTCATCATAGTGAGAAGTTAGCCATTGCTTTCGGATTGATCAGTACGAAGCCCGGGACAACAATAAGAATCGTAAAAAACCTCAGGGTATGCGGAAATTGCCATTCGGCTACGAAGCTGATATCGAAGATCTTCAATAGAGAAATTATTGCCAGAGACAGAAACCGTTTCCACCATTTCAAAGATGGTTCCTGCTCATGCAATGACTACTGGTGAAACACAATCAACTTGCAGTATCAGGCAAGAACTTCTAGACCACATCCAAATCCAGCGTTGATGTATGGATCATAATGTTGGACAATCAAGAAAGATCACGTAAGGAGGATGGAGGCCGCAGAAATGAGAATGCTTCGTTGGTCATGTGGTAAGACTCTGTGGGACATGACACCAAACTCTGCAATTAGGATGTCTTTGGGGGTGGTGCATGTATCCGAAAAATTGAGGGAGAGAAGACTACAGTGGTTTGGACATGTCCTTAGGCGACAACCGTCGGATGCGGTCAGGAGAGTAGAGTCGATTACAGTCGAAGGTTCCAGAAGAAGAGAACGACCAAGGAGGAAGTGGGTAGACTGCTTGAGATCTGATTTGAATGATTTAGCACTTACTGAGGACATGACATCTGACAGCAAAGTATGGAGACTTAAGGCTAGAGTAGCCGAGTAGCATGGGTCACAGCCATGGGTGTAGCATCTCTGTCTTATTTTTAATGCTTCTGTAGTAATTTTCATGACTTCTACTTCTATACGTTTCTGTAATTGGAATCTATGAAGGCCCAGAACTAAAGTAGCGGAGTAGTGTTGCCTTAGTTTAGATGGTAACCCATTTGACTTTATTCTTTCTAGTAGCTTGTTATCGCTGACTATTGTGTATTCCTTCCCTTCATGTTTCCTCCTTTTAAATTTAGCCGAGACTTACATTTCTGTCTATATGCAGATATTATTACACAGGGATTACTTCTCATTACAAACGCGCATATGAAGACTGCATATGAAGACTGTTCAACTATGTATTTATTTATTTATTTATTCATGTATTGTATTTTATCTTTATTTTTAATTTCCTTGACTGCCGGAGGTCTTCCACGGAAGCTGCTCTCAACCTGGCGTTGGGGGCAGCCTACTACACTACCTCCCCTTACCCCATTACATATGAAAATAGAGTTTTGTTGTTGTTGTTGTTGTATACAGAGGATCGATTGCATTAGAACCGAAGATTTTCCAAAGCAATGTGTATCAACGTCTGCAGCCATTAACATTAACTTATTACAGTAACTCTGAGCAATAGGTCTTTGATATAGTGATAGAGTTTAGGATTGTACAAACAAATTTATTAAAGAGACGAGTGGTAGGAACATCCCTTTCAGAATCAAGCATATAGTTTTCTATGGAATCAAAATAATTAAGGGAAAATTATCTTTAGTGTGATGAACATAACCACCACATGGCTGCCATGTGAAAAAAGATCCACATGTACTTTACATATATAAATAGTTTCTAAGATATTTCTCCACTAACACCTCTCTATCATTCATCTATTCATATAGAGGAGGGTATGGGATTTAGACTTTCGATCTGATCCGATTTTATAAGATCACGTTTTTTCCTCTAAAAGTCAAGTTCGGGCATGGCGAGTTTTAGGAGAATGTTAATCGAATTTGGGATAAAGTCGAGTTTAGAATAAAAAATATACAACCTAACCCAAAATACTTTATGGCAAAAGATGTCTCTTTTTTAATTTTCATTATTTTTCTTTTTCACTCTCTCTCCCCTCTTAAGAAATTTTTCATCTCTATGTTTTACTATTTTTAAATCCATAAAAGCATTAACGAAAACCACACCGATCGTTAGCAGCAACCGCATCGCCGTCATCGATTGTCGTTTAACTTCAAAATTTCTTAGCGTCTTTCAAGTCTCCTGATTTAAATTTTGTTGTTTGTAATAGTCTGTTTCACCAGAAAATGCCTTAATGTCCGCAAATTTATTTCAAAACCTTTTGTCTTCTTTGTTTCTTATCTCCTTGCTCCGCCATCAGATCAAATCGAAATAGAGTTATAATGTTTCCCTCAACAAGAAGACTTTATTCACCATTGAATTTGTCAAAAGCATCTCAGTCATCGAAAATCGCCGCGTCGAATATATGAGTATATTTTCTTGTCATACTTTTATTGTTTTTGGGTTTTAATTCTTTTTTTTAACTCTTTTTCCTTTTTTCAAGTTTTTTCTTTATTTTTTTTAGAATCTTAACTTTTGATTTAATGATTTAGGTTTTACAACGATGTAGGCCGAAGGACATGATTCATCAAACGCATAAAAGTACTGGGTGCATTAGTTAGGCCAAAAAGCATCGGACAGGAAGCACGCCCACTGGAGACTCGCACACATCGGACAGTAAGCACGCCCTTTGGTGGGGGAGAGTCGATCAACATTAGACCTTCGTGTGTGTGAGCCTCGATCACCATCTGCAATCCCAGGCAGATTGAGGTGAGTTTTTACCCCCTAAATTTTGGGTAATGAGACTCCTTTAAAATAAGATCGAGTTAAATATCATTAAATCAGGGTTAAAACTCGACCCTACTTGACCCATGCACATCCCTCTATCATAATACCATACACGTGTATTGTTTGAATCCCATCATGTTTTAGAATTTATTTTCAAATCAAGATATCTTCCATGTCCATTTTACTATTGTCAAAACTAATACTTTTGGGGTTCATGATTAACCCCATCGTTCCATATCTTTTAACTGCCACAGAACTGATCCATCTCTGCAAGGGGACCTTTGTCTATCAGAAAATCTTACAGAAGAGTGGGCCAATGAAAGAAAAGTCATGTCAAAGAATCAAGTTTGTCTCAAGCTCCGTAGAACCCCCAAACCTCATTTACCAACAAGCAGTTTTGCAAAGCAACCAGAATCAGCATAACGCCCACCAAAGATATCTTGGTCCCCCCCAGCCATGTCAACCTTCTTTAATGCCAATAGTGATGTACACATGAGCTAAAACCCTCAACCACCATAGCTGAGCCCCCACCACCACGTTCGGCTTCACCTCCTTTTCGCTCACCGACACTTTTCGACATTATTGAACCACATTCTCACGCATGCCAAATGTGAAACAAGTTGCAGACTAAGGGGCAAAGACACGTTGGAAGAAAGGGAATTCTATTTGTTCTTTTAGACAGAACACAAAATGTACATATATTGGATGTTTTTTTAACATCTCGCGGTAAGCATTCGGAATCCGAGCGCGAGAAAGGGCATCACAAATGCAACATGGCCTGAATCTTTATTGCCAAACCACACACAAATCAAGAATCAGAGGGAGAAGTACAAATCCTACCTATAAGTGTCTATAACAACAATGACAACAAATGGTTCAACCCCTAGGAATGCAATAAACACAATCCAATGTGAAAAAAAATGTAGATAAAGTAGAGTTGTTGACGAAATGTACCCTTTACCGTTTGCCGAGAACTGCACAGACAGAAACCGGCTTTTGTCGGTGGATGCGAAGAATATTGGCCGAGTTTTAGCACCTTCTGTTCTCTCTAGCTCATCTGCTCTCCGATTAAATCTAGACCGACTAGGAGAAAAGTCACGCCCTGAAAGAGGAGGAAGTAAAAATGTACTCCCTGTGCTGCTAACAGGCTCCTAACCGAAGCTGTAAGTAGGAGGAATGCGAGAGTGAGCTCTTTCCTGTATATCTTATTGACCTTCTTAACAGGTAGAGGGCCCGCCTCTTTCTGTTCCTTCAATCGGTTTAATTCAGCGAGCTCACTTTCCGAAGCCCCTCTCTGGATTTGCAGTTGGTTCATTGTCTTTGATTCCCTCTCGGCAGAATCCAGTAAGTCGGATTCCGATGACCTTCCCGCTTTTTTGGTCACAACCCACTCATAGGAGCTACCCAACTGGAATAGTCCCGATACCATTGCGTTGAATTTGGTAACGGACATGGTGTTTTCGAATAGAAGGTAAGGAACAATGAAAGGGAATGATTTCGGGGCAGGAAGAATGTTGAGGAATGACATAAAAACAGGTACATAACAAATAACCCAAACCGGAAGCTCGGCCTCCGGTACGAACATGGTTAGAGGAAGCATTATGCAGAACAATGTGAAGGAGTAGAACGGGAGGATAAGTTTCCTCAACAAAAAGAATAGCAGTATTAAATTTGCTTTCTTCCATATCGCTATCTGCAGAATTACAGCATTAAAGGTACTTCAGTATACTGTAAGGAAATCATAAACTCCATGACCGAAAGTTGTGCAACAATTTTACCTTGGAAGTTATGATCGCTGGAAGACATAAGCGGAAGAGGTGCATAGGCCCCGAATGCCAGCGATGTTGCTGCTTCCTGTATGCTTCATACAACTCGGGGACTTCACAAAGGACCTAAACGTTTTACACGGTAACTGAAAGCCATCAGGACACTACCCGAATCTTTCACCGAGGTGTTGTACACTTAATTTTGATCATTCCTAGATATTACAATTGCATAGAATGAGATTGTACCTTTACATCATTAAGGAAGATGAATTTCCAACCATTGAGATGTGCTCGAACAGCTATGTCCATGTCTTCTACGGTTGTCCTTTCAAGCCAGCCTCCGGATTCCTCGAGAGCTTTAATTCTCCAAACTCCAGCAGTTCCATTGAAACCAAAGAAATTTAGAAAAACTCCATTAACTTGCTGTTCGACTTCGAAGTGGAAACATAAGTTAATGTTTTGGAGACGAGTCAACAAATTCTCGTCCTTGTTGACGAAACTCCATCTAGCCTGAACTAACCCCAACTCAGGATTGTCCTGCAAGACAAGGAAGACATACAAGATAAAATGCCTGATAAGCTGACAACAGACAAGGAACTTAAACCGAAACGATTCCGGTTCGTTTCTTTTCACCTTGAAATGTGGCACGGTTTGCTTTAGAAAATCCGGGTTAGGTTGAAAATCAGCATCGAATATCGCCACAAACTCGTAGGCCTGCACGTACTCGCAACTCATTGCAGACTTAAGATTCCCAGCCTTGTAACCGGTTCTTATCAACCGATGCCGATAAACTATATTGACAGCCTTTTGGCTCCATTTAGCAACCTCTTCTTTAATTAAACACCGGATGCTTTCATCGTCGGAATCATCAAGAACCTGAATCAATAACCGATCCTTCGGCCAATCGAGTTGGCAGACAGCAGAGATAGACTGCTCATATACCTGTATGAAGTCACAAGAATATGATGCTCTAACCACCTAGGAGACATAGAAACCTATTGTAAATTGTGAAGTTCTTTAGTACCTCTCTCTCGTTACACATTGGGATTTGAACAAGAACCAGGGGATACAAATCGGCGGATCGTTCGACATCGTCGGACTCAAACGGATCCCCCTCGATTCGAGGTTTAATCTTCTTGTATTTGATCCAAAAGCAGCCTAAGCAAAGCATCATACGATCTGCAGATTGGATGAGGAACAGAGCAACACAGAATTTCGACAAAGCTTGAATAACCGGTGCAATGTAATGGGCTCGAACCGACAACCAAGTGAAATAAACCAAGTGGAGCAGCCCCTGGACATCACTGTTCCTCGGAATACGCAAACCCGGATTCTTGAAATAATGCCATCCATTGATGTAAGCAACGAGTTCGAAACCCAGAATTGTAAGGGAAGTTATTAGGAAGAGTTTGATGACAGTGAAGAGAAGCTTCCCTTTCCCCATTTTTTCACTCGCCATTGCAACATCTTCCCTAAAGATCAGCCTTTTCTTGATGATTCCGAGCAATGCCCAGAAGAAAGAAGCGATCCACACTACACAGCCGACAGCACGGTGAGCCTTGAGGAGCAAAACCCAAGTCACTTGCTTCGCGTTTTTGCCTCGGCTTTTCTCCGCCGGCTGGAATGCAGCATCGGGACCGTCGATTTCTACCACCGAGTAGTTCGGGTTCTCCATTTTCACTACCACCGGCGTCCTTTTCTTCGTCTCCTTCAGCCACCAGTTCGAGAAATCGAAACCCGGAGCCATTTTTTCAGGTTTTTTACTCAAATCTCAAGAATCAAAGTAATGAATTTACTAAAACAAAAGAAACCCAGAATCAGATAGTGAAAGAAGGAAACTTTAGAGCACCCATTGTGCAGATAAGAGAAGAAAAGGGAGAGTTTATAGAGTTAAGGTAGAAGACGACACAGACAACATGGGAAAAAACAAAATTTGAGGGAAGGTATATGATGCTGTAAGAACCCGAACATCACGCCATGTGGGTTTTTTTGGCCTAATAATCCAAACAAGCCTAGCCCCGAAATCCTTTTAACTTCACCTCCATAATTTACTCTTTTGTTTGCTTCGGTGCTTATGTCTTTTAGCTTAGAATCTGCTAATTCCACGGAAAATTCAGTTAATCAAAAGATTTGCTTCAGACTACTGTTAATTGCAAAAAGTAAAATCTACGTACAGGAAGGATGAATGTACGTATATAAAATCGATTATACAAATATGTTAAGAATGTACAATTATATTATAAGAATTTTAAACAGCGCCAGAATTTGTTTTTTTAGATACGAACAGTGATAGAATTTGATGATAGAGATTAGGGGTTAATTTTAAAATTTTAAAAAATTCAGAGGTTTAAATTAAAATTTTTAAAATTCTTGAAGGGTTTAGTTTTTTTTTTCTAACAAAACTAGACTATAACTAAAATTTTTGAAATTTCGAGAAACTCCGCGAGAAATTTTCAAAATTATGGAAATGAGTCTAATTAAAAACATTTAAAAAATTTAAAGTCTAATATCAATTTTTGAAATTTTGGGAGATCAATTTAAATATTTTAAAATTTAAGAGTCTAAACTATAATTTTTAAAGTTTTGAGGCACAATAACCCCATAGTTCCTCTTGTGTTCGGCCTAGGGTTGTAAATGAGACGAGACAGATCGCGAGCTACTCGAGATCAACTCGGTAAATACTCGATAAATACTCGGATCGAATGGATTCGACTCGAACTCGAGCTCGACTCGAATTCTTAACAAGCCGAAACGAGCTACTTGATACTCGACTCGAAAAGCTCGTGAGTAGCTCGAAAAATATAAAATATTAAGATTTTATTTTTAAAAAAATAAATTTTTAATAATATTAACATTTATGAGTTGATTTTTTTAAAAAATACAATAAGGCTTTCATGTATTTAAGGTTCATGTTTGAGTTTGAGGATTCAATATTGTTAAGTTTAAGATTTTTTTTTATTTCGAGCCTTTTCGAGCTGCTCACGAGCTTCAGTTCAGGATTTCGAGTTCGAGTCGAGCTTAAAAATTTTAAGCTCGCGAGTTTTCGAGTCAAGCCGAGCTCCATTTCAGAGTTTTCGAGTCGAGTCGAGCTCAGCAATACTCGAACTCGACTCGGCTCGTTTACACCCCTAGTTCGGCCACTGATTTTAGAGAAAAAAAAAATCTCCTTTTTCGTCTAATTCTTTTTATTTATTTTATCCACTCAAACCCTTGATATTAAATCATAAAGTTAAAAAACACTCTAATATTGCTTATTATGAAATTATTATCTATTTTTTTTGAATTAATTACTGATATCTGATCTATTAACCGACTAATCCAGATTAGGGTATTGCAGAGGCGAGGGTGAACCTCCCAACCCAGTTTGCTCCATTCGCAAACGTCAGGATTCAAACCCCTAACTTTACTTAAGGGACCTAATGCCTCATCCCACTAGATCAACTAGTTGTTGGTTATTATTTTCTTTAAAACTCGTGGAATTAAACCTAGAAAATCTAACACTTTGGGTTTAAAGACTTTCTCAAATTTGAAGAGTTCAGGGTATTCATTTGAAAATTAAAACAATGAGGAGCATTCTTCTAAAAAAGACGAATAATATACCTTATAATTAGTCACATCAGATGGTTAGCAAAGAATATTAAGTAATAAAAAGGTTGAATCTTTCGATGAAATTTTATCAATTTTGAATAGATTTTGTGAAAAACCAATAAAAAAGAAGAAAAGAGAGAAATACGAACATTTTAGTATCACTCTTGATGTGACTGGTGATCGATAACATGAAACCGAAGGAATTAATGATTTTCTATAGAAAATGGGGAAGTTAATGATCACGTTATAACACCGCTAATAATTTAATGATCCAGTGACTAAAATATCAATTCAATAAGTTTAATGGTAAAATGATTTTTTTTATAATTTAGACCAAAATGAAATAATATTTAAAGTGCAATGACTAATGGTGAGTTTATCCTAATAATAATTATATAATAAGACGGTGCTTTTTCTGGCTTTTGGATTTGGGGCTCAGCACTCTCCTTAAATGTCAATATTACCCTCAGTCGGCGCATTGGATATTTGGAATGAAAGTAAACTTGACTGTCTTTTCGAATCTCGAACAAATCCCCCTTTTCGACCTTGGGGCCCATTTACCATGGCTTACTTTTATTATGGGTAAACTACAATTTTAGTACTCTTTACTATTTGTTTTATTTTAGTACTCTTTCGCTAAAAATTTAACGGCACTGTATTTTATAGGCAAATTACATCATTTTATCAGTCATCCATCTTCTCACTCTTATTTTGATACTAAAGTTTAAAAACTTTTAATTTAACTACTCAATTTTCAAATTACTCTTAATTTAATCACTCTAATTATTTTATTAATATTTTTTTGTGAAATTAATTTTTTATTAATATATAATAAAAAAATAAAAAATTAAATTGAAAAATTATAGTGATTAAATTAGGAGTAATTTAAAAGTTAAGTGATTAAAATAAAAATATTAAAACTTTAATGACCAAAATAGGAGTAGAAAGATAATTGAGTGATGAATGATATGATTTATCCATAGAAAAAATGTCACGTACAACAATTCTGTTGAGTTTTTAACTGCGATGTACTAGAACAAAACAAAAAGTAAACGATGTGTATGATTTTAAAACAAATAAAAGTTTAAGTATCAAAACAAAATAAAACTGGTAATTTAGGTATTAAATATATAATTTACCCTTTTTATTTCTTAAAAGCCTATCGTATGATTATTACTTTTATTTTATGCTTAAGGTTCAAAATGCCCTTCAACTATTTTTTTTTTAAATTATGTCCTTATTTCTTTTTTGTACTGAATTAAGTACTCCAACTAGTAAAATAAATTAAGTAGACCCTTTGATTAATATTATTTTTTTATTGTGATGACATGACCATTAATCTTGCTAACGTGAAAATTAATGTGGAATGATAAATTGCAAAGTGGTTTAATTGATTTTTTAGAAAATTTAGAGACTTAATTGAATTTCTAGAAAATTTAAGGGTTTATTTAAATATATGTTAAAATATATTAGGCCCTTTATTGATAGCTTGAAAGTTAGGCCATTATTTGAGCAGATTTTATTCATCATAATTTTTTTATTAAGCTAAAACGATTACAAAATAATATTTGTTCTAAATACTTTTAATCATTTGACAATGAATATTCAATCACTCTACTGCAGCCATTGATGTTCGAACTTATGACCTCTAAGAATAACAATGTTTCTTTTAACCATTAAAATAAATTGGTCCATGCATCGTCATAAAATTTTTATTTGTGACAATTCAGTACAAAAACTTTGTGTAGTTAACTTTTGTATGGCTATCCTAAAAATATTTTTAAATTCACTACTAAACAAACCTTAAAAAATTAAGCGCTTAAATTTTTTCCATTTTCCCTTTTTAAGACAACTTGCGAATATTTATTTTTAATTAATTTTAATGGTAAATATACTTTTTAATTTACCGAATTAACAATAAAATTAATAAAAAGAGCATCATTGGTAGGGGTGTAAACGAGCCGAGTCGAGCTCGAGTATTGTTGAGCTCGACTCGACTTGAAAACTCTGAAATGGTGCTCGACTTGACTCGAAAACTAGCGAGCTTAAAATTTTCAAGCTCGACTCGAACTCGAAATCCTAAACTGAAGCTCGTGAGCAGCTCAAAAATGCTCGAAATGGAAAAAAAAATTCTTAAACTTAACTCGATTGAAGCCGCAAACTCAAACCTGAACCTTAAATACATTAAAATCTTATTGTATTTTTTTAAAATCTTATTGTATTTTTTTTAAAAATCAATACATAAATACTAATATTATTAATAATTTATTTTAAAAAATAAAATCTTAATATATTATATTTTGGAGCTGCTCACGAGCTTTTCGAGTCGAATGTCAAGTAGTTCGTTTAGGCTCGTTAAGAACTCGAGCTCGAGCTCGAGTCCATTCGATCAGAGTATTTATCGAGTCTTGATCGAGTCGATCTCGAGTAACTCACAATCTGTCTTGTCTCATTTACACCCCTAATCATTGGGTTTATAATGACAATTAAATTAATGATGTTGGCCTTAACTTTTTATGCAATTATTAAAAGTAAAATATAATGTTGGAGAGGAGATTAGGTAGTTGTGGCCTAATAAATACTCCCAATATTATTGTGGTCTTGCACTTAAAATATAACAGCTTTCTCTCTTTTGGCTGTTTTCCATGCTTACTTTGTCTTTTATTTTTGGATAAATTTTAGTTATTGCTTTGTAGGGACATTGATTTCTTTAATAATTTTGTTGTTGGAAAAAAGGGTTGATTTTGAAGATTTTTTAATTAAGGTAAAATGATAACTTTTCCTTCCGTAGTATATTTAATTTATCATTTTCGCCCCTATCGTATTTTCGCATCAATTTAGCCCTTGACGTTACTCGATTGCATCATTCTACACCCTATTACTAACTTAAAACCCTAAACTCTAAACCCTAAACCCTAAACCTTAAACCCTAAACTATAATCCAACTTAAAGTTTAGGTACGAAATGTGTAATTTACCCCATTTATTAATTTATATTTTAGTTTTGGGGCTTGGGAATTATGTATTTATTAGATGTGTCTTCACCATTGCATTTGATACAGTATTCAGCAACACTGAGTTGGAAATTATGGAATAAAATCTCTTTTTTAGGTAAAAATAATTTCGTTTGCTTGACAGCAAATTAATTGTTTTGTGGACTGACAGACTGGGATACTATAAACATTTTATATAGGGATGGGTATGACCCGAACTCGCGGAGTTTCGACTCAACTCGATTTAATAAGGTTTTTTTTTTAAATTTGGGTTTGGGTTGGGTCGGTTTCAGTTTTAAAGTGAAAAATATTTGACTTGACCTGAAAAAATTATAATTTTACCTCATATATTTAAGGATAATTGTAATAATATGTCTCTATGTATTATTTTCTTTCAATTAAATCTCTATTTTTATTGAATAAAAATAATATTTTTAATAAATATATTATTATGAGTCAGGTCGAGTTCGGATTTTATCTCAAAAAAATTAGATCAGGTTCAAGTCGGGTGGAAGGTGTATATTTTTCAGGTCAAGTTCGGGTCGAGTGAAGAATTTATAATTTTAAGGTCAAATCAGGTAGACCAAAAATCCGACCCGGCCCATGCCCATCATAATCTTATACAAAAGGATCGCATCAAAATTAGTATACGTTCAAAAATTTTTAATCATCAATGATATAACATTATCCGTAAACCCAGTTGCTTAAATCTAAAATTTCTAGAAAAATAACAATCTTTTTTTAGTATACTAATCGTCGTTCGATAGTGAATCGTCTCTTCTTTTTCCTCATTTTTTCTAACCTACCTTTTCTTTTTATTCGAATTTAGTTTTCGATTTTTCGATTTTTATGGCTCAAACCCTATCTCTCTCCCTACCATAACATTAAATTCCCAACTCAATTCTTTGTCTTGTGACTAATAGTATCAAAACAAGAATCCATTGCTATTGAAAACCAACATAGATCTAACCATTTAATTAGATCTTCAGCATGATGGGCAAGTTTTATTGAGTAATTAAAGCCTAATACAGAAGGAGAGGAGATGCAACCAAATGAGGTAAAGTTTAATTAAAGAAGACGATACATTTGGTAGATGGGAACAAATGATGAAGATGGGATTGGGGTAGGGACGAACGCAAGATTTTATGTTGTGGGTGAATTTAAATTTATAAAATTTTAGGGGGCGAAAACAGATTTTTAACAGGAAATATATAAAAAAAATAAAATATATGATAATTTTAAATTTTTAGTAGACGACTATCCCATCCGCCCTTTCGGTGGATTCTTGATTTGGGGTAATTGTACTTTGTGGTTTACAGCGAGAGGTTGGTTGACGAAGGTGATGGCGACGTTAAGTCCAACTCTTTGGTACTGCCTGTGGCTCAAGTGCCTGTGGGATCCTATCCTTCACAATATCATCAACAAACAACAAACAATTGCATGTGGACTTCTTCCTATCCTTACTATCTTATGGTAAAGTACAAAAAGGGTCCCCGGACTATAGTACACTATTTTTTTAAGTCTCCCAATTATTAAAAGTTATAAAATAGTCCCTCGACTATAGGGTATTGCTTTGTTGGGTCCTTCGACTATTAAAAGTTACAGAATGATCACCTGACTATTCATTATGTTCCAAACTCGTCATTTTCCAATAAAAAATTGACGACAATCTCAGCTGGATATTAATCTGCTGACTGAGACTCAAACTAGGATATGATAAAATCTAATATCCAAATTTCAAACGACTATCATATCTTAGAACATAATAAATAGTCAAGAGACTCAACAAACCAATATTCTAAAGTCGGGGACCATTTTATAATTTTTAATAGTCAATAGACTCAATAAAGTAACATCCTATAGTCGAGGGACCATTCAAGCTTTTTCATGTTTCTAGTTGTAATACTGCAGAATATTCCGAGAAAATTCGCGAGGTTCAATGGTCTGATAGGCAGATCTTGCGAGATTGTTGTTGTCGATGAACAACGAAGGTCGTGGATGGCGAGTCTAAGACACAAGGAAAGTGATGGTCAAGTCTATATTGGGTGCGGTTGGAGAAACATCTGCATTGGAAATAAGCTTAAGGCAATGGATTGTGTTGTAATTGAATTCATTGGAAATGGAACTATGCCTGTGTTTAAACTTCACAGTATGCTTTTTACAGAGTGGTTTCATTTTTCTTTCTGTGATTTCAGATATGGTATTTGGTTTATCTCATTGTTCCTCTTTTTGCAGAGGTTGAAGACGATGAAGATGACAAATGAATGGCAAATTACCCTAATTCCAACGCACCTCCGTGATCAAAAATTATGAGTGTACAATATCGACATGTTAAGAATTATCTTTAAACAGATATTACAAATTACATCATTCAAGTTTCTTCAATCTCTTATTTTAGTTATTAAAGATTAATTTTTTTCTTATTTTAGTTATTAAAGATTATTATTTTTTTAATTTACCATCAATTTTGATCCGTTTTAATACCTAAAACATTAGATATAGTTTTAAAAAAATTGAACAAAATAGTACTAAAACTTAACATTTAAGTATGATTTTGAAAAAAAAGAAAAGTTTAGACATTAAAACAAACCAAAACTGATAGTTTAGGTATTAAACTTATAATTTACCCTATATTTTATTAGCAAAGGAATTCCTGCAACTAAATTTAACCCATCTTCCACCGCCACTGTGTCAATCCTAAAATGGTTATGGGCCATCTAAAATTTGGTACAACTGAATTTGATCGATGGTAGACATTTCCATCCATTTCTTTCAATGATATATGAGAACAAAAATAAATACCCGATTACTGCAACTGCAAATCATCAGGCTGTGCTTCAGCTCTCTCGAAACGATAAGGTCGATTCGGATTTCAGGCCTGTATTTCGAGCAGATGTCTCGTCCAAGAATGTAAAAATACTGTTGTAATGTCTAAGTAGAAGATGGACTTGATTTGGAAATGGCCATATCAATGTCTTCAGAATCTTGCACCACATAATTTACTGCTACCGGTGAATCTAACTCGTAAATTTTTATTTCTTTTGTAGATGATGAGCGTTACCTTGCATCGTCAACCAGGTTCGTACTTTCGGCATTTGGAGCTACGGAGCTGGTTGCAACAAACAGATCTTTGTCAACCTCTTTATCGGAAGAACATGGCCGAGTACCACCCTTGTTCATATTCTCCGGATTTTCTCTCACGGCTATATTATTAACCATATCTGTATGGTCGCCATCTGTTCTGATAACTTGTGAATTATTCTGGAAAGAGGAATTGTTTTCACAGAGGGAAAGTTCCTCAGTAAGTGACGCATTTGACTTGAACTGAACCGCATCAGCATCCTGATGTTGATCAATAGCATCATTTCCTGTAGATGACTCGACTTTAAGTCCAGGAATTTCTGAATGCAAACTACCGTTCGACAACATGGATGGAGAAAGGCTAGGAGAAGTAATGGACTCGTTTTCAGGTACAGACTGAATTTCTTTCGCAGGACAATGTTCAACATCGGATTTCATTGATTTCTGTTCATCCTTCCCCTGAGATCCCGATGTTCTAAGACACGACGGGCGTACAGAAACCCTGCAAAAATAGGAGCACTTGTAAAGATATTAAACAAAACAACAAAAGCCATAAATTCACATGCAAATAGCAGGATACAGAATATTCATATGCATGTCTTACTTGATCCCATAAATTCACAAAGGTTACATTTTTTTACCGACAAAAACCATATATTATATGCCCTCCTTTATCAATTCAGTACACCATAATATGTCCATAAATCAAGGGTTTGAACAAGATAAAGGAAGATCAAAACTGGCTTTAGGTGCCAGAATTTATTTAGGGAAGAAAAATGCACCTTCTATATAAAAGCATATATGCCCCCTGAGAAAGTACCTCTTCCAGTTCAACCCTCATGACCTGAGAAAAGAGGCAGAAAAAAAGTGGAGATTAAAACTGAAAATCCAGATAAAATCTCTTTTTTTCCTTCTGTCAACCCTACTACTTTGTAGTGATGATTGAAGGCAGATGACACAGTGAAGTTTTATAATAGGTGCCACACTCGCAATCCGAAAAGGGAAATGGTGGTAAAGACATGAGAGAGTGAATACCTTACAATCATCAATTCTATACCAGTTTCCCCTGAAATCTTTGGTACAGCAGATGTAATGACCAAAATAGGATGCATTAAGCATGTCCACATGGACAACAACTGCATAAAGATTATATACATTGGTATCATCTCCATCTTCACTCATATAATGGGTAAGATCTAATGTCTCAGGAAAGCTGACTCTTTTGTTGAGTTTTCCAAACCGGCCACTCTGCAAAGATTTTCAATAGATATTTCACGATCATAAGACAAAACTTCAATAATCACCAAATAGAAGCATCTACTGCAACATCAATAAAGCCAACAAATAACACAAGCATGATGTAGGTAAGACCTGAAATCTCTTCAAGGCAATTGTAAGAATGTTTGGAGCCCATCGTATAGTAAGCCGCTTCCATGCCTTGACATAGTCATTGCAACTAAAAAGAATAAACACCATAGTTAAACCAAACAGTTACACATCAATGTACTATAAAAACATAGATAAAATTCTGTCTCAAACATCTAAAATCACGCAAGTTAAATTATATAGATCCTGAGGGCAAGTAGAGGCGAAGCAGTCATACCCATCACATTTGTACATATTTTCCCCATGAAGCCACTCTTTAACAGTGAATTGTTCAAGGCATTCCTCCAGCGATGAAGCATCTCCATTAATTTCAACAGTTAAGTCCATCATATTTTCATATTGATTTGAAATCTTATTGCAATTTGAACAAATCACCTACAAGGTTTTAACATGATGATAAAGCAATAGAAATAAGTGTACAAAACTTAAACATGGAGAAAAACCAAGCAATGAGATTTACATAAAGGATAATGGCAAAATCAATTGCAATAGCCTTTAATGGTAACAATTTCAAACTATGAACAAAATCTCACTAAGTTAAGGAGCAACACTCTTATTCACATTGAGTTTCCAGTTCATATAGGTGCTCTTTTTTTTTTGGTGTTGGGGGGGGGGGGGGGATGCTAAATCAAGAGGGAAATTGGAAAACACAATGTTTTAAAACATTTTTCCCTAACAGAATCATCGATACAGTAACTTTACCAAAATGTCAAATAACCAAAATTCAATAGAAAAACAAAAAAGAAAATAAATAGAATACATCACCTGAGACTGCAGATGACCACCATATAAATGCTGAATAAGGGTTGTCTCTTGAGAACTACGATCTACAGCTTTTTCTCCACCAAATTCATCGAGGCAGATTGATTGCATTGTATCAATAGCAAACCTGAAAAAATAAAGGGCAATGGATAATTACAAATAAATCTAGAAGTTTAAAATTTCCTCTTGTTAATTTCAAGGTGTCAAAAGAAAATGCAACAAATATGAGAGATGCTAACCTCATGAATTCATGAGCATCCTCTTGTCTTCCATAACCAAGATTACCTCCAATATTAGGCAACCGTGAGAGAATATTAATTGGTGAAAATGGATTCTGACTCTGGCTTGATCTTTCAACGTGAGATTGAAGTTCGCATAGAAAACACCAATCATTACGTCTGCCTGGAAAACAGAAATAAAAATAAAGGTCAGATGCTGTTCAATAATAACCTTGAGTGTAGCAAAGTTTAGTTTCAAATTTTACATTCTTTCCGATGCCCTTTCTCCAATAAGTAAGCAACAAGAGGCCGGGTAGATACAAGGCATTGCAGAACCACATTGGCAAAGCAACTGCAGGGAAAGGAAAAACATGAAAAAATAAATAGAGATTAAAATAGTAAACATAAACTTACCCAGTCTAATAAAAAGTTCTAACATTTTTAAGGAAAAAAAACTCCAACAAAAAGAAATAAAAAGCATGGTAAATATGAACCTATTCCCACAATTCAAGAGTCCACACGGAGGGAATCCCAGTTTCTCCCAGTTGAAAAGTTCTACAAACTCATTATATGGGAAAAGAACCTGGGGAAAAAAGAATATGAGTTCTAAATTTACTTCTATTGGGTTTTAAAAAATGTCAAAAGAATAACCTCTCTTGGCTTCTTGCTGATCTTAGAAGTTCCACAGGAAGGAACCAAAGCAACTCCTGAAAAAGGTTTTGATCTGGCAGTCTGTGTTGAATTTACTTTACACTTTGTCTTATGCCCATCTTTCCAGTGCACCTGCTGGCAAGTTAAGGAGCTGAAAAGGAAAGAAAGTAATAAGACCAAACCAATCAACTGATGAGTACATTAACTACGACCTTCGAAAATCATTGTTCACTAGCATGCTAACAGAAAATTTTTCGTATATTGGACAACATATGCCAATTTTGAAAAATCTCGTGCATTGTTAAGTATAATTGACTGATGAATTGATCAAAATCTCAACATCAAATTGTTTTATATACATCATCATCAGTGTTAAATAAGTCTGGATTCAACCTAGATTAAGGACAACAGTAATTTCACAGACAGAAAAGAAGAAAAATCTAGGAAACCCCCAAAAATGCAATTCGTTCAAGATTATTACCCATAAATCAGAAAATACCAAATAATTATTCTTTTTATATACAAAAATTCGAGGAAACCCCAGCAAAAACAATTCTTTCTATATTCTTACTTATGAATCAGAAAATACAAAATATTTTTCATCCCTTTTTATACAAAATTCCAGGACTCAGCAATTATTTTTTTTTCTCTAAACTCATACTATGAACCCGAAAATACAAACTACTCCGCACAAACAAATTTCGTCCTGATAAATCAGAAAATATACCAGATCACCAGTAAGACTGACATAAAACAGAATATATATCAGAAAATATCATAAGAAATTTAGCTTACCTCAATGTAAAACCGAATATATATCAGATCCAGTAAGACAGATACATAAATTTTAGAAAGCGGTCAATCAATGGGATTGAAAGAGTATTAAAAAAATCACAAAACTTTCTCATTTACTTCCGTTACTAGAAACTTCAGCTATGACAATAATGAAAAAACAGTAATAACCATTAAACACCGTAAAATACAATCATGGAAGAAGGGGATCACACAATAAAGTAAATCTTTTAAGGAAAAAAGGCCTAGCGTACCAATAACGAACAGATTTACAACGCGAACACTTCTTGGGGGCGGGATTGGAGCAAACGGCACAGGTAGAGACATCGCCGTTGCTGTCGATGGGGATGGAAGGCATTTTCGGTCCACGATCGAAACCGGAGTCGACTTCGAAGTATCTCGAGGCCGTATTCTTGATCAGGTGAAGAGCCCCCAAAGCGAGAACAAAAAGCGTGAATATGAATTGCAGGAACCAATTCGTATCCAACGTTACTCTACCGACATGCATCTACGCCGATCCTAGGGTTCGTTCTTCATCAATCTAAATTTACCCAACTTCCAATTTTCATATTGAATTCACTGTCACTCTAAAAAAAACCCAAAATACAAACAAAAATGAGCAAAAACTATAAGAAAAAAAAATAATCAATTACATATTGAATCGAATTACCTTAAATAAAGAATTGAACGAGATGCTGAAACCCTCCCTTTGCTCCTCTTTACTTATGCCTACCTCCACGCCGTTTCTGAGGCTGAGGCTCAGGACAGTTGGACTTGGGTCCTTCAGTTTTGTAAGTAGAGTTTCGGATCAGGGACGTTTAAATAGTAAATATATATATATATATATATATTAGGGTAAACTACACGAGTAACCACTCAACTATGGTTCAAAATTAGTTTGACCATTAATGTTTTGATTTGATCAATCAGACCATTTAATTATTTAAATGCTTTAATCAATCAACCATCCGTTAGCAACTAACGTAATGGTCCTAATTTTAATAAATTAAAATAAATTTAACCCTCGAATCAAGAGACGTCATGTGTCATTTATGATACCTGTCATCATTCGATTGAAAAACTAAATTTATTTTAATTTATTTTTTAATTTAATAGATTTATTATCCCTAATCACAAAGTGACACGTGTCATCCTCTTCAAAGAAACACGCAACAAGCAAGGGATATGAACACAGGTTCCTTTGAACTGATTTGGTAGCACCAAACCATTGAGCTAAGACATTCTTTTGGTATAAATTGGACAACAAAAGATATATGCATATGTTTTATGTAAATGCTTTACTCAAAATTAATAATATTTTATATATCTTAAATTTTAATTTTTTTTATTTTTTAAATTTTTTTAAATATATTTTATCTTTTTCTTGACTTATTAAATATATTTTATTTTTAATTTAATATATTTGTTGAGTTAATCGATCGACGGAATCGACCAAGAGGGGGTGAATTGGCAATTAAAATTTTGGTGGAAGCTTTTGCAGAAAATTGAAAGTAATTGCACAGCGATTTAGAGTGGTTCGACTTTCTCAATCAAAGTCTACGTCAATTACCTTAGCTATCCACACTAAGGATTTTCCAACAAATTCACTAATTTGTTCTTTCTTTTGAGGCCAAAGAGATAACCTTACATCTCCCTCAAGAATATACTTCAAATATTGATAACACTCTTTCTCAAAGAGAAGATTACAAATTTGCAAACTTACAAGGAAATCCTCACAAGGTAGATTGTTTGCACAATTCTAGAACAAAGAAAAGAACACTAAAAAATGAATACAATTGAGTACAAGTAGTGTTCTTGAAAGCAAAATGAATATTGAATGAAAAATAGGCTTGAAATGCTCAAACTTGAGGTTTGATGCTTTCTCTTTGATTCTCTCTTGATTCTTGTTGATTGTTGTTTCTTGTTATTGATCAATAGCTTCTAAGCTTGTTTAAATACACCTTCAAATGATTCTGAACGTTGGGGATGCTTAGTGGAGTTAATAGAGCCGTTTAAGTGTGAAAACAATTAATTAAAGCAGTTGGGAGCATCAGTGCATCGATGCATACCCATGGTGCATCGGTGTAAAATTCAAATATTTTAACCGTTGACCCCTTAGTGAATCGGTGCACTAAGAGTGCATCGATGCATCAAGTGCATTCGATGTTTCAAAATAGCCAGAGTGCATGGATGCATGGCTGGTACATCGATGCATCAAATGTATTCGATGTTTTCATAAAATCCTCAGTGCATCGATGCATGAAATGCATTCAATGTTCAATTTGATTCATGGTGCATCGATGCATGGATTGATGCATCGGTGCATCACTTTGAAAAATTGATTTTAGGCTTGATTTTGGTTCAAAATACTTTGAGAAAATTGTTTCAAATATATATTAAGTATAAAACACAATTTTACACATTTAGTAAGGTTTGAAATTGATCTTGAAAGACTTGGAGTAATATTTTGATATTCGATTAATTAAATCGAATATACTTAGAAAATCATTTGTAAAATCTTAAAATTCATTTAAACTTAATTTGTTATATCGAAACAAAAAAAATGTTTTCAACAATCTCCCCCTTTTTGATATAACAAAACATTTGTGTAATTTTAATATTTTCTTTGAAAATAAATTTTGAAAAATTAAGTTTAAAATTACTCCCCCTTACTTTAACACTTCTCCCCTTTAAAACATTTTAACACTTAACATTTTATTCCCCTTTTTGTTAAATCAAAAAGACTTAAAAATCGATTTAAACAAGGTTTTGAAAAACATAGCCAATTGATTAAATATATATATAGCTTAAGCTGCTAAGATCACAATCAAAACAGAGATTAGCCATTAGTTTTATAATCAATATTCATAAACAAATGTGAAATGACATAATTGGTCATAATGTAACTAGTATGTAAATGATGCAAAAAATAAAATTAATAAACATTAAGCTCATAATGAAAATTCAAACCAAATATATATAAATATTAAGTTCAAAAATTCATAAAACAACAAATAAGTTCAAAACATCCAACAACCATCAAATTTAAACATCCAGAAACATCAAAATCAATCCAAGTTTGAAAATCCAAGAAAAACATAACAAGGAAACAAATCTACTCCATCGGAGGATCGGGAGGAGGAGGATAATGAGCTCGAACTTCAAGAGTGAGAGTGTCCATTCGTTCAGGCATCTCCCGCTAAAACTCAGTAATATGAGACTCCATGGAGGCAAACCTCAGATCAAATTACTCCAAGAAGGATCGAAAATATGGTGGCATTTGATCTTCTTGCCGTGCCGGTTCCGGTGCAGGCTCATCGTCTGGAACATGATCATCGATATCTTGCATAAGTTGTTGAAACTCAGGGTAATCGTTAGCAGCCGATGCCGAAGGAGGAGGAGGAGCACGAGAAGAGCTAGGAGCAGCTCGTGAAGAGCTAGCTCCCGGAGTTTGCTTACCGGGTTGAAATACCCAAAGACCGATTTCCTCATCTTGTTTTCAATCTGCTTTCTTCAAGGAGGTAAGATTGATTTGATTTTGGAGTGGGATAGGATTGTCGAGAGAGACGTCTAGACCGAGTTTGATAAAGAGATTACTCAGAAGACATCCATAAATCAATATTTTGACATGTTTTGAAGGATCAATGTTTATGATGTCCACTAGTTGACTAAAAATAATGTGGGGCAGATTTATTTTGATCTTATTTTTATTACAGTGCATCCACCATAAATCCCTAGCACGAAGAGTGGAGTATCTACCTCTGGATTATCTAAACCACCAAGAGATCATCAAATGAGGAAAACGATATTGATGAGATCGTAGAGTAATAACACTAGAATTTGGATCATAGGGATATTCCACATTTTCATTCTCATTATATGACCCATTATCATCTAACCCAAAATGGAAAGCTATAGTCTCGGGGTCAATATTAATATATTGGCCTAAAAGATAGGATCTAATGGCTATAGTCCCACATTGAGTTTCGTTTTGAATACATACCGCATTGGAATAGAAATGCGGACTAATTGTTGATAAAAGATAGGTTTGAGCTGAAACATTTTATCAAACTTCCAAGCTTTAAGAATTGGAAGATATTCAAAGTCAATATCTATTATAGCTTGAAGAGAAGGAATACGCTCTTCCCATATTCTATAAGATTGAAAAGAATTTATGTACCTAGAGTACAATTCGTCTCTACGACGCTCAGGCATGTTAAAACAAGATCCTAATAGAGATGTAGGTGGAGGAGGAACGGGATTAGGAACGGGATTAGGAGGTTGGTTTGAACAAGAACGACTCAAGTCCTAGGGCGTTTGGGATTTGACATGTTTTAAAGATTCGGAAAATGAATGTAACCTGCAATTTGAAACACATGTATGCACAATAATCAATCCCAAAACTCAATTGAGTCCTCAATAATTCAAGGTTCTCTAAACCGAATCCTAATGGGCAAGGTTTTGAAAAATATTTAAAAATAATTTTTGTAAAATCATAATATGTATAGTTTTTTATGAAAACAACATAATTAAATCAAAAACATCAAATTTAAAAATTAAATTCAAATTTTTGATTTTTTTATTTTGAAAATTCAAAAATTTCTTTGAAAATTTGTGAGTTTTTGATGAAATTGGTTGTAAAATCTAGTTTGTAATCATCAAACAATCAATGCCCAATAAAATTTTCATCCTAGAACTAATAAAAACTAGTCCTAAGATTAGAATATGATAAAATAGATATTTTTAGAAAAATACCTTGAAATTTTCAGATTTGAGAGGAATGGGATGTTATGTTGCACGATTTAATGATAGTAGCAGGATTTAGAGAAGAAGTATGAAATATTTCCGAACAAAACCAAAAGATTTGGAACAACTTTGAGAGTAGGAGAGGAAGAGGAGGCATATGGCTGAAAGAGTTTAGTTTTTAGGGTTTGAAACAAATGAGAAAATAAGCCTTATAAACCCCAAAACCCGACTGATACATCGATGCATGGCCTTGTGCATCGATGCACATTCAAGGCGTGCATCGGTGCACCTTAATCGTGTATCGATGCACATTCAAGGATGCATCGATGCACTGTTAGGTGTATCGATGCATGAAGCACAAAAATATCAAAATTCTGTTTTAAACACTCAAAATGCTAAATTAATTGGCTCTAGTGGTATTGACAACTCATATATTGAAAAATAATCATGTTCAATCAATCAAATTAATCCTTAAACTACTTTTGAACATAAAATTAATTTTCATCAAGCAACATAAACTCCCCCTAACTAATAGCAAAGAATGCAATAAAAAATTATTATTATAAGCATTTTTCATTTATACTTAAAAGTGATAAAATTATTTTAAACACTAAGTGAAGATAGGTCAGTTAAACCTAATTCTCTCATAAGTGTCCAAAATCTTTCCTTGTCTAAAGGTTTTGTAAAGATATCCGCTAATTGGTGCAAACTATCAACAAATTCTAGAACTACATCTTCCTTAGCGATATGGTCTCTAATGAAGTGATGTCTAATTTCAATATGCTTAGTTCTAGAGTGTTGGATGGGATTTTTAGTGAGACAAATAGCACTAGTATTGTCACACTTGATAGGAATGGTACTTACTTTAATTACATAATCAAAAAGTTGTTGTTTCATCCATAAAACTTGTGCACAACAACTACCGGCTGAAATGTATTCCGCTTCAGTGGTAGATAATGCAACACAATTTTGTTTCTTTGAAAACCAAGAAATCAACATATTTTCAATGAATTGGCAAGTACCAGAGGTTCTTT